GCCTGGCCCATATAGTAGTGAATAACAGGTAGCTTTTATCTGTGGTCATGATCTGTCAATGCCAAGAGCACTGTTAAATGCTAAGTAACGCGTATCAAAAGTTGAATTTGAAACTAATAGTGTATTTCACTGTTCAATGCAAAGAAAGTGTGCCATTTAGGGGGGAAGGGTCCTCGATTATTGAAAAAAATCACTTTGGGTTTGTTTTCTGAATATATAATGAGGAAGAGATACAACCTTAATGAGCATGTACTTTTGTATATTTAATCTTCATAAGAAACCATTTGGAACTGATGTTTCTCTTTCTCTTTCTCCCTCCCTTCCCTCTCTAAAAGATAAATAAAATCTTAAAAAAAAAAAAGAAACCATTTGAAGAATTAAGTTGTGTGAGCTCACATGATTGGTATAAGTGGCCAGTTTCAGGGCATTTTGAATCCAAAGCCTGATGCATTTACAAGACTCCTCTACCCTCCTAGAGGACTATATGTTATAATTTAGCATAGTTCACAAAGAAGTTTACTGCGCTGTTTAGGTAATGTACTCCAGGGGTTTATTTTGAAGCACGATAATCCTTTTCACTTATATATCTAGTAGCACCAGATGTGTATCTACGGTCTTGCTAAGTGGCCTTACTGTTAAACAGAAACTTGAAAGAAATTCCTAAAATGTATTCCTGACAGCAGGCAAAATCTGTTGCTTAAGACATGTTTTTGTGTGTTTTGAAATGTTTTACGAAAGGCCGGGCTTCTCACACACCCTTCAAATCCCTTAGCTGACAAAGATTGATCTAAATGGCGCCCTGGAGATTACAATCATTCTATAAATGGGAGCTAAAGAGGAATCATATCTGCCCACAAATTAAAATGTCCTTTGTAGAAGTCAATTTAGGGAACTTGACAATCTTAGAAGCTGTGAAAAGAAAATCATCATGAAGATCTTGAACTAAGTTATACTTGGTTTTCTCTGGTTTATTACTTGAGATCAAGTTTTGGTGCTAAGTGCTACTTTGTATAATTTTCCCACCCATCTAAGCTGTGTAGGTTAAAAAAAACACACACACACAGCATATGTTCTACTTGTGTTCTTTCACAGGAAGTCAGAAGAGGGTATAAGTGTTGTGACTTCCAGGCTTGCTGAGCTATTTGTAAACTTGCATCAGTATCAACTCATTTTAAGCAACAAGCTGAACCGTCCCTGGAGCAAATTGTGCTGTGAGCTTTCCCAATTAAATGCCATTTCTCAATTAAGGTATGGGTTTAAAATATGCACAGATGAACTCAGAAGTACTGTATCTCAGATTTCCTAAGATTTTCAGGTGTTTAGGCAGTTAGGTTTATTTTAAACTACCACCCAAGACAGGTTTTCTTATAATGCCTCTTAAAGTGGATTTTTATACTACCACTTAAAAAAGGAGCTACATATAAATCACTCTTAAAATAACCTCTTGTCAACTGAAAATAATAATATTCACCTGTTATTAGCATACGGCACACTGCCATTTCAAAACTGCCAGTGACTCATGTTACAAATGCAGCTATTTTTAGGACAGTGCAGGGATGATGTTAACAATATTCCTTTGAAAAGGCACTAACTACTTGATCAAGTATTTTGTGGATGGAAAACTGGATAAAACACACTTGTTACATCCCAACCCAAAATTACTCAGTAAAATTTGTTTCATTTGGCCATCTGCATGCCCTTGCTTTCTGCTTAGTCAATAAGTCACACAAACATTAAAAAAGCAATCTGTTTTATATGAAATAGCTCCATATTTATAAATCTTAAAAAATAAATGTAAAATCACCCTAGAGGTTATACAGCACATTTGATGTCAAGTTCAGGGCAGCAGACTGTACACACTTGAATAATCCCATTTGCACAAAGGGTTCTCCTGTAATTGCTATGGCTGTGAAACCCTAACAAACATATTCTTTTAAAAAGTTATCACAACTAAATGTCACTAAGCAGAAGTCTAAAACATTACTATCATTTAAAAAATAAGACTGAACATGAATTAAAAGGATTTATTAAAAGCCAGAGTCAGTAGTGGGGAAAACTATCCTTAGAAAATCTATGGCCAGCAGCCATACAAGTAGGATGGCTTCTAAACTTCCTAACAAGCATATTCTTAGTTTTTGTTTGTTTGTTTGTTTCCACTGCAAATGGCAGTCAGTCAGTCATTTTCTCATTTGTCTCATTTGGAAAACTAAAATTTTAAGATAAATGCCTGGACTGCCCGCCCCTGCATATACTGAATTGGGACATGGGAGAAAGCATTAAGGCTGACTGACACCCGGATTACTGGTTCCTACTAGAAGTGCTGATGCAACCTTCAGTGCACCAGGACACAAAAGCCATGGTTCTGCTTTGGTTTAGAAGCATAAAGCAGGTTATAAGCAGCGCACGATGCATGTGTGCTACCAACATTAAAATGCAGCTTTAAAAATAATGGCTATGGGGAAAGTTTCTGTAGGAACTGGGCCTAAGTAGGACAGATTGTCATTCGCGTCAGTAGAAACATTCCTGAAATTTCCTTTCTGTAAATACAAGCTGGCCTCTTCTGGGCAGTTTAATTCTAATTAAGACAAAGGTTTTTAATTAAGCCCTGAAAATCCTGGTGAATGGCCTTCTGCAAAACTGTCCTTGCTGGTTCCTCCAGAGATAATTTGTTTTGAGAAACAATGAAGTGGGTCTCTTAAAATCTGCAAGAATACATTTCTTTCCCTGCTTTCTGCTACTACACACAGCAAACAGACTGAGAAAAGCTGCTGGCCCTTTGGAACAGGCTAGAAAAGCACCACTTGTTTTCAATTCAAGCTGACCCCTTCATTTCAAAACACTGGTGGACAGAAACCTCAAGTCCACAGAGCATTTGAAGAAAACTGATTTTGAAAGTGGGGAGCGTTAGAAATTTCCCATAGCATTCCCCTCCCAACCCCCCCACATACCACCCTGGGGAGGCAAAAGTGAACTGCTGCTACATTAAGAAAGCCAACAACTTGTCCCAGATACCCTAAAAAATACCATGTCTACTCCCCACCCCACCCCCATGTGTTTATGAAGTATACTTTTTCTAGCATATAAACTATTTTGGAAGCAAAAGGAAACTAAAGCTGATTTTCAAGAACCCAAATAGAAGTCAATGCAGGGGTACGAGTTTCAGCAAGAGGGCAGAATAACAGGTTGAGGGAAACATCAGCAACTGTGCTTGCTTCAGATTTGTACCTTGCCCAGTCCCATTACCAACACTTTTGCATTAAGCTCCGTGTCTCCCTACTTCCTGGCCTAGAGAAGATGGGGGGTGGGGGGGGAGCCGAGATAATTGGGTATGGAGGCAATTAAGGAGAGATTAGCAAGCGCTGCATACTGCTCAACAAACCCAAGCTGGCTTATTCCCATACCCCACATTCTTAAGCAAGAGAACAGGATCCAGGCCTGAAAAGAAACTGGGAGTTGAAGCTGGTTTCTCTAACCTAGCTGGAAAGTCTTTATGCAATCAGGGGCTATTATTTCAGGAGGCAGTGGGAAAGGGGCAAAAGACTCACGTTGCTAAGGAGACATGCTGAAGCTGGCATTCCTACATAAATTTCCATTTCTATTGGACGGGGGAAAGAAAAGATATTTTCCCCAAAGTTTATTTGGATCCCCTGGTTACTGAAGAAAGGCATTTTACCGAATTTATTTCATCTTTAGTTGTAAACAAGCAACCCTTAAAGAATTAAAAGACCTAAATGTTGACCTCCTGCTGCCAACCAGTCCCCTCCACAGTGAATTAAGCAACAAAGCCGAAACCCTTCAATGGGAATTTTGAGGAAATATCAAAGAAAAAGCCTTTTTAAACAGAAATATCAAATTTATGGAAGAAATTTCAGCAAATGAACTAATCTCTCTTATACCAAGAAACCAAAGACAAAAGTCAATCGGATTCTTGTCAATTTTGTGCTATTTCAACTTTCCTGGTACTGGAAACGTTTCTGGTAAAGCTTTATAAATAGTCCCAAGGCCATGAAACTGCACGAAGGAATTTAACGAGTTTCTCAGGGGTGTGTGTAAGTGTGTAAAATCACGGGCAGCCCCTCTCCCTTTATTCCCCTTTCTCTGTACTGACAGCAGCTAAAGAATCAATATTAGCAAGGGAAAGGGTTTGCAGGAAATCAAAAGTTGGCACTTCTGGGGCGCAGGGGAAGACAAATGGAGTTCAAGGAGAGTAAGTCAGTCTGGTGGCCTCAGCGACTACCTTCTTTCCCACCCCCACCCTACCCATTTGCAGCTTTCAGTGCTGGTTGAAAAAGGTACGAGGTTCCGGGCTTCTGTTAGTTCGTGAAGAGAAAGAAAGGTCTGAAGGACAGAGAAGGAAGGTACTTGTGCTGGGAGAGAAAGGCAACTCACAAGCAACGATGGTGTCACCAATAAAGGGGAAAAGAAATTAAGTCTGTCCCTCTCTCAACTCTCCATAGCTCTCAAAAATGTTAGAAAATAAAGCCCGAGCCTAAACTCATTGCGGGGGAAGGCAGGTAAAGTGGAGCAGAAGAGGCAGGAACGCGGGCACTAAGAGGTAAACTCGGGCGGATTCCCGCGGAGAGATGAGGGAGAAGGCACGGAAGACCGAGAGCCCCTGGCATCCTGGTGGAGTTGGGGCGTTTTTGCTTTCTCCTTTAAAGGAGATGGGGAAGCCATTGCATTTTTAACACAGCCACATGGTTCTCACCTTAAATGATAACAATTACCCAAAAGAGTATCCGTGTTACTCTAGGGCCCGAGGAAAGGCCACGGGAGGAGGGAAAGGGAACGTTTGATTGGGGAGTAGAACCGGGGAGAGGGGAGAGGTGGGCATCGGGGAGGTGGCTGGAGCCCAAGGATCCCGGAAAGGCCAGGACAGAGCGGAGCAGACAAGGGTAGGGGACACAGAAGGTTCGGGGAAGAGGTAGTCGCGGTCCTGGTAGTGGGGCGCGGGGCAGTCCCAGGCGGGAGGCAGGGGTCGCGGTGTGCCGGGCCCTCACCGCTGCTGAGCGTGGACTCGCAGTGCCAGATGTCCCAGCTGGCGGGTTTCCGGCAGGACTCCCACAGGGACAGGTAGTACTGGTGGTCGGCCGTGACCCAAGCCGGGCTCAGCACGGCACCCAGGTCCAGACACAGCGCCAGGAAGATGCACACCAGCCCGACCAGCTTCAGCGGGGTCAGCACCGACGCGCGCACCTCCTCCAGGCCGCTGCCCGCCCAAGCCATGCCCGGGGCGCCGCAGTCCGCCGGCCCGCAGGAGGCGAGGACGCCAGACGAGTCCGGAGAGCTGGGAGCCCTACCCCTCTCGCAAGCAAGCAACCGTGCAGCCACACGCAGGGATCGCTCCCTTGGGGTTCCGCGCCTCTGGCCGAAGCAGCGAAACTGGTCTGCAGAGGTGGCCGGCTGGGGCGAGGTCGTCGGTAGCCGCAGGGACGCCTATCCCTCCACTGACCTTCTTCACTGCTCCACGCGATCAGCCCGCCCGGGCGACTTGCTCCGCCCCGACCCCTCCCCTGGCAACCGGTGGCAGTGCAGAGGGAGGCAGGGCGGCGGTCCGCGCCCGGCTTCGAGGGGCTTTGTCTCCGGACTCCCTGGGAAAGATTCCTGTGACTGCCCAGCCCCTGTCCGAAGCCTTCCGCTCCGGTCGGTACTCTCTGACGCTCGTCCTTAGCGTGCGCAGAGCGAATCCTCTTCCCTGGTGCTCCTAGAGACAAACCCGGTATGAGTCCCCATCCACCAACCAGCCCCTCGGGGCAATTCCTCAAAATTGTTCAGTCCCCAACCCTTCCCCTGGCGGCATCGGCTCCGGGGTCGCCTCACTTCTTGTCCCCACCCCCAGCCATCACGTGGGTTTCGTTTTCTTAGCAAGCTGCAGTGGGACCTTATCTAGAAGGCGTCAGCTGTGGATTCCTAGGTTTCCAGGGCTGCAGCCATTGGAGTAAGAAGTGATGTAACACCATCCGCTCCGCACTACCGCCCCGTTAGCTTCTTACGCTGGCGGATTTGGAGAAAGGAGAAGAAACGTGACAATAGGTATTTTGTCCTCTCTTTTCAAACCCAGGATGGACCCAGTCTCGGACCCAAGAATCCCTCAGTTTTCCCTATTTCCTAACTTTCCCTCTGAAACTGCTTCTATTCTCTGGATTTGCCTCCTTTCACGCCCCCTGCGAAAGGCGATTACTCGGGGGAATGCAGGCGCTAAAATGGTATTGAAAGCTCCTGCAAAACGTGAAGTAAGCCTTACTTGCTTCCCCGCTGCTCTCTTCTTTGATTGGGTGTTGACTAAAACCGTTATTCTTTTGCTTTGCCTTGTGCCAAGTTGGATCTGAATTCGTCTGGGGGCATTAACCTGTTCCTGTGCCCCGCAAGACCTAGCCCAGGGCCTGGCATAGGAAAAGTGGCATATCTTTAAGTAATCAATCTGCACATTTGTATTGAAAACCTATAGTACGCTGGGGGCTAAGGATTCAACCAAATATGACCTTGCTCCTGTTCTTAAGGAGACGCTCTATTTTTAAAACTCTGTACCTGAGAAATAAGCACCCCTTGAAATCGAATTTGCAGTTTTGTAATTAACTAGGTCAGCCTGTGATTGGTGGATCATCTGGAAAATTTGATGAGAAACTCAAAATAGTGGTTAAGATCAGAAGAATGGAAGAAATGCCTCCTATCTTTTAATGAAAGCACGGTACTTGACACTTCAGGATTTCATAGATTTGTTAATAACCATTTCCTTCCTTCTCACCACATCTTTCCTTGGGGCTAACTACATTTTGACCCAAGCAACATTTTTTTTAATCCTCGCCAGAGGATATGCTTATTGATTTTAGAGAGAAAAGAAAGGAGAGGGGTTGAGAAAGACAGAGACAGAGAGAGAGACATCCATGTGAGAAAGAAACAGATTGTGACCTCCTGGACTGCCCTAACCAGGGATTAAATTGGCAACCTATGTATGTGGAATCGAACCCACAACCTTTTTGGTGTATAGGATCATGTTCCAACCAACCCAGGCACCTGGCCAGGGCCCCAGGCAGCATTTTGAATGTAAGAAACAATCAGTTAGTGCCAAATGACTTGAGAAGAAGAACCAATCCAATGTGACATTAAAACGATAGTTTTCTTGTATTTGGAAATTAGAGAACTGGTAACTTTCCCCTCAATTACAGTATTTATTGCCATTAATAAAGAATACCTCGAGCCCTCTGAGCTCCTTAACCTCTAACCTCTAACAGGCTTCTTGGCCTCCCAACCTCCCAAGGAGGAAGAAGCCTAAGTGCTTCTCCTTGAAAATGGTTCCTAATGGAACACTGAAAAGTTAAAAACCAGGATGATTAATAGGGACGGCCAGGCTTGTGATAGATTTCTATTACCTGGTTTTATGTTCATGGGCTTGTAATGTACTTTTAAAAATAATATTTAAGAAAATTTCTTGACCATGCCCTTGAAGTTATAAAGAAATGTTTTTTCTTCAAGTTCTATCACCTGCCCTTTAATAAGTTCCATTTCTAGTCAGCTGATATTTTTTCTTCATCTTTACTCCTTCTAAATTTGGCTTTCTTCCTCCTCCACCCTGACTCTTGCCACCCCCACCCTCCTTTTGCTTAATTTTTCTGGCTTGTTCTCAACTGCTTACTGGAGTGACTCCATCCTTCTTTGTACTACCTACAAACTTGTCTCTGCACTGTCTCCAAAATTAGGAAAATAAGCCATTTTAACAACAAAAAGCCAATTCTCCTAAAATGCTCCATTTTTCTGTTAATCATTTGTAGAATGTGTACTACATAATACAGATCAACCATCCTTAATCTCGACTTTCAAAAAATGAAAAGCTCTCAAGACAAAGGGTTTTATTTTTTGTAAGTTTGTTGGAAAATTATTTGTTTGGAAACATAGTTTCCAATTGATCTGAGGCTATTTATTTTTTATTTGTCCCACTTAGTGTGAATAGATAGGTAGCCACATGCCCTGTTGGGTATTGTCTAGTTCACAGAATGTGCACCATAGTATCCTTCGAAAATCTGGACAAGTCTGAATTCCTTAATACAACTAGCCCCAAAGGTTTCAAATGAGAGATGGTGGACCTGCATTTACCCTAAAGATGGAAAAAGTAGAGTGGGGGATTTCAGCAATTAGTAAACATGGAATGAAACCTACAAAAAAAGTTATCTGGGTAGAAGTGGAATCAGAGGTGATACTAAGGGGTGTGTGTGTGTCTGTGTGTGTGAGAGAGAGAGAAAGGTAGAAACAAGGACTGAAATAGAACCTTATCTGAGAAATAAGTGAAGTATGAGTAAAATAATAAGTGAAATCTGAGAAGTATATGAAAAAAGTCTTTAGCTCAAGAGAATTTGCTGGAGACCTCTTAGAAGCACTGACTTTGTTGACCCTGCACTATAGTGTCACACAAAGGTCAGATGCCCCCTCTTTCATGTGAGCTTAACCTAGGACACCATGTCACAATAGTCACCCTTATCCCTGGACCTCAATGGGCCAAAGTCTGAGGGCCTTAGCTCTCTCTTGCAGTGTAAGAGGTCCATCAAAATTGCCCTGGCTGGTGTGACTCAATGGATTGAGTGCAGCCTGAGAACCAGAGGGTCACTGATTCAATTCCCAGTCAGGGCACATGCCTGGGCTGTGGGCCAGGTCCCCAGTAGGGGGCTCTCAAGGGGCAACCACACACTGATGTTTCCTTCCCTCTCTATCTCTCTCCCTTACCCTCTCTAAAAATAAAGAGATGACATCTTTTTTTTAAAAGGAGCTTCTTGAAAATTGGAATCACAGAACTCTGATGCATGACTCTGTCTGAGCTGTGCAGCCAGGGGAAGGCAGAAAGGAGTCATTCTGTAGACCCTGAAGTAAAGGAAGAGATCAGCCCCATGCTCGAATCAGTCAGGCCAGAAAAAATGGGGGCAACAGTGTGAGGGGTGAGGTTGGATGCATAGATTGGGAAATTCATCAGAAAAGTAGAAATGTATCCTGGCCGGAGGTAGAGGGTGTGGAGGAGATGGGGAGGGGGGGAGCATTTTCCAGACTTTGAACGTATCCTAAGAAAATAAAGAGGAGTAAATGTCATGTTGTCTGTTCGTAGTCTGTCAGCAAGGGCACCCTCTCTACATTTGCTTAGCAGTTGAAATGTCCACCTACTAAAGTTCGTGGTTTGGGATAAACCAGAGGGGACTTAATCCATTAGGGACTAAGCAGAAATAATTGACTGTTTTCAGAAATGAGCCCAAGAATGTCATACATGGTTCAAGTCACCAACCAGTCTTGTCATTGTCACAGCAGCCTCTTCTACTCCTTCTTTAGGCAGGCAGTGGACAGGTGTCCTCCAGTTATTCTGAATCCAGATCACCATCCGAATGGAGTAGGCTCCACCCATCAGGAACAAGCTATTTTGCTCAGCTCTTTGAGTCGTGTTCTTCTTCCCAGATCCTAGAAAGGTCTTACTACACCGTGGACTTTCAGCACTGGGATCACATCCAGGCATGCACTGGTTAGACCTGTTTGCTCTCAGAAAGGAAGAAATAGAATGAAGGGGGAAACAATGAACCAATCATTAAAAGATTAGAAATATCCACCAACATTTTTTCAGTATAACAGATAATGTTGGCAAAATACATTAGAAATTAGAAACAAAGAATACTTCAGTCGTTTACTCTCTATACTATATTTCGTCCTTGAGGTCCTTGCTAGGATTCTGATGGGAATAAAACCATTATATCCTGAGACTTGCATGTTATTTGTGATAATTAATTATGTCCAAGAGAATTCCAGGTCATAGTATGTTCTGTATTGCATTATGAGATTGCTTGTTGCATTGTTCTTGGCTTATAGTTATCACAAATATTGTGAGTAATAATTGCTATTCTTTTTTAAAAAAAATAAGAACATAAATTTCCACCTTCAGAAAATGCAATTCCATCATTTTCTAATGTCTTTTCCAATTGAAAATGTATATTGTTAAATCAGTTTAATTTAAGTCAGTAACAGCACACTCACACTATGCGTTGATGTTTTGATTTCAAGTTAATTGTTTTGCAGTAGTAACTATGGCCATAATAATTTACTCACCCACAAAGAAAGGAAATAAATCCTGAAAGCAGAAACACAGGAGGCCACTGGAGTTGAAGGGTGATTAGTTTTAAATAAATATGTTTATTGTAATGAAAGAAGTGTGAATTGGATGCCCAGGAGGTAGGAATACAGGGAAAACTCGAATATTTCTAGTGGGACTAAATCTAAATGTTTTCTCCATGTTTTCAAGCCTCTCTTTCCTTAATAACAAGCACTTATCGGCACAGATCTTCCTTCATATCTATATTTTATTTGTTGTAGTCACAGCTTTGTGGAGAAATGACCAGGTATAAGCACTTTAAGCACCTCACGACTGCGTTTTAAAACTTTTTGTCTTCTTGTTGCTACAACAATAAATTGAAGTTTTTGGTTACTCTGAAGCAGGTGCTCACCTACCAACATATTATCATCCTGGTAGCATTTCGATAATGCTTGGCCACCATCAGCCTGACACATCACTTCTCCACCTCTCCTGGTGTGCACCATGGTTGAGGACTGAACTGAAATAGACCGCTGGAAGCCTGAGAAATGGCTACCCCAAATAGCTGAGTACTTTGGTGGGATGAACAGGTTTAGCTTATGCTTGATGGAGCGTGTAGGGGATTAGTGTTGAACCATCACTTAGCCCTTGACTTCAACACAAGCCAAGGGAAGTTAGAGCAGAGATGAAATCATCATTATCAGGAATTACAGTGGGCAATCGTTCACCCTTTCCATTGCTCTTTGGAGTTCATTAGCTAAGCCTCC